ATGTAACACTTAAAGATATTATGTCCTCTAATGAATTATTTGGAGGAAAAGTCATTGCTTTTCAAAGGTGATTTACGTCAGACTCTTGCAGTTTTCAGGAATGGAAATAGACAAGACTCTGTAAGTGTCTGTATCGTAAAATCATCTTATATTTGGCCAAAAATGATACGCCTCACTCTAGAAGAAAATGTTCGAGCACAATCCGATCCTTCTTTTTGTGAATATCTAATGGATATTGGAAATGGAACTATGCCAACTGTAAGTGGTACAAATATCAAAATCCCACCACAATTCCTTGTCCATGCCACTGACACTTCAGGTTTGTTATCATCACTCATAAGAGTTGTTTACCTAAACTTGAATCTCTTTCAAGAGGATCCATATACATTGATGGGGAGAATAATACTAACTACTACAAATGAGTATGTTGATGAAATAAACACAAATCTGATTCGTAAATTCCCCAGTGATTCAAAAACCTTTCTGAGCTACGACGTAGCAGTGGATACAAAATACCAAAGTTGCCAGGAATTATTGAACACGTTGTCATTTCCAGGTCTACCTCCCCACACATTAGTTTTAAAAAAAAGTCCAATAACCCTTTTTATGAAACCTAAATCTATGTGAGGGCCTATGCAATGGAACGCGCTTAATTTGTGACGCATTTAAGGATCACCTAATAAGTTGTTTCATAGCTTTTGGTGAATATAAGGGCACGCAGGTATTCATACCAAGAGTCCCACTTGAGATATCTAGAGATGATCCTTGCACAATTCCGTTTAAGAGAACTCAATTTCACATCAAGCTATGCTTTGCAATGAAAATAAATAAATCACAAGGTCAAACCCTCAATTTCGCAGGAATCTACCTCAGACGGCCAGTTTTTTGTCATGGGCAATTATACGTTGCAATGTCGCGTGTCAAAAATTCTGCCTTGATGAAGATGCTTATTCATGATGAATTAGATAACTCTAAGACCACAAATGTGACCGCAAACATAGTTTACAACGAAATCATTGATTATCTTACATAATAAATCAACAAGTAAGATATTTTTATGCATTGTGTTGCACGTTACTTGTATTTAAAAAAATACTCACTACAACTCATATACTACATTTACCTTTTTACAGAACAATGGATGCAAAAGAACAAATTACAGATGTAACTCCCAATTCAAAATCCTGGGGTTGCAAGGTCCTCGTGATAGAGAAGCTGAACGAGCGACAAGCAGCAAGCGAAGTTACATACAGGGCTATAATCATGCAAGTCAATAGAGTAAGACTTTTAAACTTACACTACTATCCAAATTTCAAAAAAAAAAAACTTACCATGATACTATTAAGTTCTTAATTATTCATAGGGGAATAAGGTAAAAGCAATGACATACGGACAAGATATCACCATCCTTGACAAGCGGCTTGACTTGAATAACACATACAAAATATTTGATGCAAAGGTTTCCCCAGCTAATCAAAGTTTTGCTGTCCTCGATGAAAGTTATCGATATATCTGGACACTCAGTAGAAGAACAATGATTGATGATGTCAGTTAAGAAGAAAAACTACTATTCCAACCAAGTGCAGAACCAGAAATCAACCCATTCTCTCTATTCTACAAAGCCATGCTTTAATTGACTTAAATGGTTTACTCTTGATCTGGAAAAAAAATATGTTTAATTATCGTTTTAACTGCTTAGAAAAAAACAACGTAGTGATTTCAATCAAAACATACGAATAAGAAAAACATTTGATCAAAGATAAAAAAATATTTTACAATGAAAAGGTACCTATATTGTTGAAAAAAAATTGAAATGCATATATTAATTTAACTCTTTACCTTAGAAGAATTTCGGGAACGAAATTCTTTTAAGGGGGAGAGAATTGTAACGACCCGAAAATCGGCTTAGTAGTTAGCCGTTATTTTAATAAGAATAAATAATGAATTTATTTATTCAAAAATACAAATTATTTGTAAAGTTGTCTATTTTAAATAAAAATTAGATTTTCGGGTAGATCTCGTAAAATGGTGACCAACGGTATATAGTTTGTTAAATCACCAAGGTTCAAATGACATTGAACCTTAATGTCATAGGATGACCCGGTGCCGCTCCGGTGCCCCGTTCGTAAAATTGACGGTTCCTACCCCCCTAACCCCCCGGTAAACCCCCCACCCCGGCCCCGACCCGAACACACCCCCCCACCCCCTTCAATTGCACCCCACAAGTTGATTTTGACTATGGAGTCAAAATTTGACTCCAAAGTCAAAATCAACTTGTGGGGTGCAATTGAAGGGGGTGGGGGGGTGTGTTCGGGTCGGGGCCGGGGTGGGGGGTTTACCGGGGGTTAGGGGGGTAGGAATCGTCAATTTTACGAACGGGGCACCGGAGCGGCACCGGGTCATCCTATGACATTAAGGTTCAATGACCTTTGAACTTTCCCCTTGTTAAATTTGGACATACATATAAAGCGTGATGAGTAAAGTAGACGTTACAGTTCAATAAATAAGGGAGAAAGACCAAAGTAGGACTAAAACATTAGAAATATACCAAAATAGGACTTCCATGTTTTTATTCCCAAAATAGGACTTACATTACCAAACATATATGGTCATGTACATAACCAAAAAAGAATAGTAATGTGCACGTCTAAAGTGCCACATTACCATAGTGCAAAGTGTTATTTCAGGAAAAAAATGAAAGTCCTATTTTGGTAATTTTATCTATGTTTTAGTCCTTTTTAGGGTGATTCTAATAAATAAATATAAGGAATTATAATAATAAAATAATGGCCTTGTTTGGAACAATTGGCGGTTGGCTGTTTATGTTGGCTGGTTTGAATGTCTGATTGAGTTAGCTGTTTTGACCGGTTGTTTCTATTAGCTGTTAAAAATTAGATGTTTGGCAACTTTAGCTGTTTATAGTTAGCTGTTTGTGAGTAAAATTACATATAAGGACATCCCTCCATTTATGTTAATTTGTGTATGATTTTATTTTTTTTAATTTGATAAAATACACACATTATACAAGAAAATGCTTTACATATATTTTGTTTGTTGGACAAAAAAGGCTACTTCGTTTTTTTAATTTAAAAAATGAGAATTTACATTTATATTTTATAAGTATATTTATTTGTATTTTTCTCATTTATCATTCTACAAATAACAACCATGCATGATATATTTTATTTTATAATTTTTTAAATATGATATGATAAATATATAAAAATACTCTACACCATTTTTAAATTTGATATCATATTTTTTAATATACTCTACACAAATTTTAATTTTTTAAATATGATACCATATATTTTTTTGTTGGACAAAAAAGGCTACTTCTTTTTTTTAATTTAAGAAATTAGAATTTACATTTATATTTTATAAGTATATTTTTTGTATTTTTTTCATTTATCATTCTACAAATAACAACCATGCATGATATATTTTATTTTATAATTTTTTAAATATGATATCATAAATATATAAAAATACTCTACACCAATTTTAAATATGATATCATATATTTTTAATTTACTCTACACCAATTTTAATTTTTTAAATATGATATCATATATTTTTTTGTTGGGCAAAAAAGGCTACTTCGTTTTTCTTAATTTAAGAAATGAGAATTTACATTTATATTTTATAAGTAGATTTTTTTTGTATTTTTCTCATGTATCATTCTACAAATAACAACCATGCATGATATATTTTATTTTATAATTTTTTAAATATGATATCATAAATATATAAAAATACTCTACACCAATTCTGGTGGCGTGAGGATCGCAGAGAGACGCAACACCGAGAAAAGGGTAGGAAATGGAAAAAGGGTGAACTGCTAGATGAAATGCTGCTAGGGTTGGCATTTCAATTTTTGGCTATTCGGTTCTAAATGCCAATTCCAAAAGCCATTATCCAAACAACTAATTTGGCGGTTTGACTAGTCCAATCCGCTGTTTATAGTCAAAGATGCTAAATGCTAGGTGAACCACCATTTACCAAACATGACCAAATATGTATATAATCCTACTCCTACCCCAAAACGGAGAAACCCAATTCCCCCTCCCTCTTCATATAACGCACACACATTAAAGAAAAGAAAAAGAAAGAGAGAAAAGAATAGAAGTTACGAAAAAGAAAGAAAAATAGAACGGAAACCCTAGTTAGTTAATATGCGTATAATGCACGTATTATACTTACGTACGTATAATACGCGTATTATACACATGTATCCGTATGATTTTCAAAAATACTTTAAAATACATGTATATTTGACACTATACGTATAATTACGTATACTACGTATGAATTGAATATTTCATTATAATTTTTTTTGTACAAAAACAAATATGAATTTATTCCAAAAAATATTCAAACAAAACACGAGTAATACTTTATATCACTTATATATACAATACTTAATCAATTTGAAAAAATATATACCATCTACATTCTACAAAAAAATATTACATTTTTTGTCAAGTTCAAAAAAAGACTTCACTCTTTCCTTTTTTGTCTGTCACAAAAAATTCATTTTCTTTTTAGAAAGGAATGAGCGACGTACAACTCTTATTTGTTTTTTCTAAATATGTTCAAACTATAAAGTTTTTATGTTTAACATTCTTTTAAACTACGTACGTGAAAGTCAATAAGGATATTTTTCCTAATAAAGGGACTATATATTTTTTCGAATAAATATTTTAAATAAATAGAAATTTTAATTTGAAAAAATCTATTATAAATATTTCATTTAAAAGATTTTTATATTTTGTTTATTTACCCTAATATAATTGATGACTATCAATTGATAAATATGTGTAAATTTGATGTATATATGATAATATATATAAACATATATAATACAACGTATATTAAAAATAGAAAACGTGTAAAATGCGTACGTATCCGTATCTGTATGTCGAACGTTTAATATGCATAGTAAGCCGTATTTTATAAAACCCTAACGTATTATACACGAACGTACATATTGACGTATTATATGTCCACCGTATATTACTAACTATGACGGAAAGAAAAAAGAAGAAAAGATCAGAGAGCCGCCGAAACAACAAACCACGCACTGGCCCGCGCTTCGCACGTCGCCAGAGGAACAGCCCCGCCACCGTCCCCTTTGTTGTTGGTTTAATTCGTTGATTTGTTTTAATTCGTCGTCAATTAATCAAGGTGAGTACGTGTATATATAATGCTAGATTATGTATATAGATTTAAAATATACGTTTGTAGTTTCGTATGATTGATTACGTGGTTTATTTGGTTATAATGAAATTATGATTTATTTATATTATATGATATTATTGGAGTTGATTGGACAAGGGTGACCAGGTACGTTTTCTTACTTCAAATTTGTGTGATTTGCATTATGGTAAGTGGAAGGTGTTTACACCCGACATTAGGCCGCTATTTGAATTGTTCGATAATCTATATAGCTATTTATATTCTCTTGATTTATTGTGGATATAATGTATGTGTTATGCCTTAAATAGATAAAGTAAACTGAGTTTGTTGTTAGCTTAGAACTGATTAGTTAAGTAAGTGGATGACATAGGTCACCTAGAAGAACTCTAAGACTACTTTGTGAGAATTGAGATTGTGAGTTGACAATAGGTTGTAGAGCCTTGTGGACTTAGTCCAGTGGCATTCAGGTAAAGATGTACGTACATGGAATCTGGGATCTGATCCGTAGGATTGGAGGTTCCACCCAACCGGCATCGTAGGTACCGGGTTGACCAGAATCATGACTGTAGGTAGTGGTTCTGAGGTCATAGATAGACTCGAGTCATGGACGTAGGTAGTGGCTCTAAGTCTTAAGATAAGATTGTGGATAATGATGAATTGGCCTTAGCCTTGAATAGGTTATTAGCTAGTGTTGGACATGAGCTATTGTGATAACTTGAATGTTGAATTGATAACTTATGCAGCTGAAGAATCGAGGTAAGTAACATATTGTGTGAATTGTTGATGTCGTTGATATTACAAATGTGCACTTGTGTGCATGATATTATATGGAATTATGAGCTAATGGGTTCGTCTATGTATGTAGTCAAAACATTAGATATTTCCCACTTAGCTTCAATGCTGAGCGTGTAGCCCTCTGTCCTATTTGCTACACGTAGGTAACATGAATGATGAATAAGGAACTATCTTGGAGGGCAGCAAGGGCAGAGAGGTGGATGGATGCTGGTTGGAGAAGTTATTTAGTTTAATTATTGCATTTAAAGTAATTATGTTTTTTAAAGGGAAAGAACCCAAATTAAAGTTGTATTTTGATTAAGTACTTAAAGGCTTCTGCACCATTTTGATTAACTCTGATGATATTTTAGATAATGTTTTGATTTAAATGTTTTTGAATTGTTTTGAAAATTATTGTGTTTGATGCCAATTAGTAGCAACCTGGTTCGCTAACTCTTGGGTCCAGATTACGCGGGTTGGGGTTTTACAAGAGATGTTTTAAATAAATGACTTAGCTACCTGGAAGAACTCTAGGACTACCCTAGTGTGATTGTAAGTATAAATGTCAATAGGTAGAATCACCTTTGTGGATCAAATATCAGATGGATGCGTGTTAAAATGTACGATTAGGATCCACAAACTATCATTCCAAAGGAGACAAGGGTACCACCGATCTAGCAGAGAACTCCGTCATTGGTAAAGTTGTGTTATATTATATTGTGTTGTGTGTGTCTGCTACTAAATATCCTTAGCCTAGAATAGGTTATGAGCAATTGTTCGAGATGAGCTATGGTAAGAACATGAGTGTAGAGATGGTAACTAGTGCAGTTGAACGATTAAGGTAAATAACATGAGGTGTGATTTGTGATGATATTGTTGCTATTATATGATGTTGTTATGTGATACTCCCTCCGTCCCTACATAAAGTTCCATTTTTGACTTTTTGAAGATTTAAGGGAGGGATATTTTTGTGGTGACTTTCCAAAAATACCCTTGATGTGTTGATGTGATGTGTAAAAGTAAGATGTGATATGTAGAGTAGTAAAAAGGTATGATGTGATAGGTAGGGTATGAAAAAATAAGGGGTAAAAATGGTTTTTTAAGGGAAAAGAGAAGTTTATTTAGGGACAAAGAAAAAACGAAAGAAGAACTTTATTCAGGGACGGAGGGAGTATTACTTGTGCAGGGAATGGTATGAATGATTATGTATGCTGAATTAATCCTATGTGTGACTTATAATGCTAGAACCTCTCACTCAACGTGAAAGCTGAGCGTGTAGTTTGTTTTATTTGCTACACGTAGGTAACATGCTAGGAATGACAAATAAGGAACCAATCCTAGAGGGCAGCGAGGATAAAGAGATGGATGGATACTTGCTGCATGGGTTTATTTAATTTGATATTATATTTTAATTTATTATGTTTTTGGGAAAGAACCCAAGGTTGTGTTTTGAATTAAGTACTTAAGCTTCTGCACAGTTTTATACTCCCTCCGTCCCTTAATAATGTTCCGTTTTTGACTTTTGGAGAAATTAAGGGAGGAATATTTTTGTGTTGACTTTCCAAAAATACCCTTGATGTGATGTGTAAAAGTAAGATGTGATAGATAGATTATTAGTAAAAAGGTATGATATGATAGGTAGGGTATGAAAAAGTAAGGGGTTAAAGGGGTTTTTTAGGGGAAAAGAGAAGTTTATTTAGGGACAAAGAAAAAACGAAAGAGGAACTTTATTTAGGGACGGAGGGAGTATTACCTCGATGGATTTATAAATATGTTTTTGAGTTAATATTTTAAATTAGTTTGGAAATAAGTTGTGTGTGGATGCCAACTTAGTACCTACCTGATTTGCTGACTTATGTATTCAAGTTATGTGGGTTGAGGTGTTACAATTAAATCAGAGAGGGTCATATATGTGCGTTTTCTGTCAGTTGGCCTAGGGGATAAGATGATGGTTACAGATGTCAATCAGCAATGGATGGAAAGGAAACCAACAACTGTTCTTGACAAACTCTCTTTGCAAAAGGACCGTCTGATATGGAGCACGACTATTCCGGATGTTAGTACCCACCAGGGGCTCGACTATGGAGGAAGAGCTCAAGAGATGCTGCATCACCATCAAGTCACCTCTCGTACGTACGTAGTAGAGGAGAGTTCCGATTCCCATTGATTCATGTCTATTCTCACCATCTTGCCAAGATCGGAAGTAAGATTGGAGGATTGAGGAGAGAAACAGAGGGGTTAGAACAATATATTGATGAACCCTAGATCTGGGACGACGTAACGAAGAAGAACTTGCAGAGGGAATTTGAGGATTCGGAGAGTGAAAATATAGAAGATGAAGTGAGGAAGTTAATATAGCGATGGGTGACGCGTGTCAGGTTCCAAGACTGGGCAATGATGATATCACGATGGCAGCTCGCTGCATGCACTGTTCTAAGATGATGATAATTTTGGCTGAGATAGTGGAAGAGCCAACAGGCAAACAGGTGTTACGCTCGAGGCCAATGCCGATTTGGGATCCTAGAAGATTGATGATGTGATACTTGATTATTTTTATTAACAACTCTAGTTTCTTGATGGGCAACCCCACACAAGAAAATAAGGGGATTATGATGGGCAAATTGGACCCTGGTGTAATTATTAAAATAATTAGTCCAATATTCTTATCTTGATCAACTAATCTTGGCATCAAGGCCCAGACCCAAAAGCTAAATTTAATTTGTAGATGGATGACGGGCGGAACCCGTCCGGTCTAAGGGATAAGCTTTATGGGCTGGGCCAAATAGGATTGAGATTAGTTACTTGGGGAAAGGTTTACTCAATTTTTCTAAGAAAAGCCTAATAGATTTAGGAAGCTTAAACTCCCTCTATCCCGTAAATGTTTTTTGGTTTTGGCTTTTGAGTGCTTAAATTTCCACAAATGTCCTAAGGGTTTTTTTTAAAAGTGATGTTTTACATCAATGAATAGATAAGAATAATGGGATGGAGTAACTAAAAAACAAAAAGTAAGATGAGACGTGACGGATGAAATGTGGGAAAGTAGGGTTAAAGAGAGATACTTTAGTCCATTTTGGAGAAATTAAAATACTTTATGAGACGGGTAAGATGAGAGAGTTGAATATTTTGTGAGACAAAGAGAATATATTATACTCCCTCTGTTTCTTAAAAAGATTCTTGTTTTGACTTTGGGGCAAAATAAGGAAAGTGTAATTTTAGTAGATTTTCTGATTTTGCCCCTAAAGTGATGGGTAAAAGTAAGATGTGATAGTTTAGTTATTAGTGAAAAAGTATGATGTGATAGGTAGGGTATGAAAAAGTAGGGGTAAAAGTGATTTTTTAATAGAAAAAGGAAGTGTTTTAAGGAAAACAAAAAAATTGATAGAGGAAGAGTGTTAAGAAACGGAGGGAGTAATTAACTACCCCCAAAGGGTTTCAAATAAAGGATAGTTCTTTTCTTTCCAAATATTGAGTTCAATATTCTTGTCTCTTATTCAATATTATTTTCATAATTATACAGAAAGATTTACGAGAAGAATAGTCAGGCTGTTTGTTTTAGCCTCTTAATGGTTCAGATGTCTGAATGGTTTAGCACTTAATGGTTTAGACTGTCTGTTTCAGCCTATTAATGGTTCAGATGTCTGAATGGTTAAGAAATTTGCCTCTGAATGGTTAAGTATTATATAGAGTCTGAATGGTTAAGACCTCTTATCTGAATTGATCAGACATTTGCCTCTGAATAGTTAAGCAATATACTAGCTCTTAATGGTTCAGACCTCTTACTGGTTCAACACTTAATGGTTCAGACTTTTTACTGGTTCAGCACTTACTCATTCAGAAGTTGCCAAACAGCCCCTCAATAGAGTTAAACTTTATCACTTAATTATTTTGAATAAGATTTGAGCAATTAAGATCAAGTTTAAACTAAAGTAAATGCTCGGTATTAAACATGTCTCGAAATTTACCCTATCATTGAGTCTTAGGGGGCCTAGATTGGTGGGATCTAGATTTTGGGTGCAGAAAAATAAAGTTTCATACTCGGTATTTTTTTCCCCTTTGTTTTAGGTAGCATATAAGTTGTGCCCTCTTGTTCATTATTATCACTTACCAATTCATGACCCATTGGTTTGTTGGTGTTTTCTGTGTAGCTACCCTAATCTCCCTTCTGCTCAAGTAATTCCAAAAAGCAAATCAACCATATCTTAAACAAATCTAACCTCTTTTAATTTCCAGGTGAGAGAAATTAAAGAGAGTTGAGATTCTTTCTTTCTAATATTTCTTTTTGTTATCTCGAAACCCTAAAAGCAGATCAAGTCGTCGTCAACGTGGTGTTTGATATGTCTGATGAGAACCCATTTCATGATTTCCATAACCAGATGGGAAATGGAAGGATCAACACGTTTCCCTTCTTCGGCGACGACGATCGTCATCCGGAAGAATTCGGCGAGCCTCCCTCGTACGTGAGCTTCACGGAGAGCTTGCAGGGTTCCATGGACTATAACTCCCTCTCAAACGCTTTCGGCATGTCGTGTTCTTCGCCTGAGGTCGGCGGCCCTCCCCCGGATCATTTCCACCATCATCAAGAGTCTTCTCGGAAGAGCAGTGTTTCCGGGGGAGAGCCGCCGCCGATTGGCGCCGGAGAGAATATTCCGTTCCCGGCAAACTCGTCGGCCTCCTCCTACTCCAGCGAGGCTGAGGGCGGAGGAGGAGGAGGAGACGACGATTCTTCAAAGAGCAAGAAAGATCTGCAGCCTAAAGGCTGTGAAGATGGAGATAATGAGAAGTCTGCAAAAATGTACGATTACATTTTTTCTACCAGCTAAGCTCTTGTCTTTATTTTTCATTTAATTTACTTAGCAATTGACATCAGGTATAAAAATAAATTTTGAGCTTAAAGAAATGCATTAAAATTTTCATAAAATCAAAATTGACATATTTAGATTCCCTATTATTTTATCAAATCAGTTAAAATTAAACAAATGAAAGTGTAAAAATTTGTTCATCTAAACACTGCACACTGTGAAGTACGTTATTATAAGGAGCAAGGGATTATTTATATTCCATTGCTTTGCACAATTATTTGATTACGGAGTACTTACTATAATTAGTTTTAGTTCAAGAATCTTTTGAACATATATAGTCCGTTCATGCTTAGCTTCTTTCGAGGGCCGCCCGATGATTCTAAGGCCCTGCGAGATGAAATAAAAGGGTCTTGATTTTGACAAATTAAAATGAAATTTGCACAAATTAGAACTAAGTTCTTCTTTGGGCATAGATTATTATGCTACGCATTGGATAAAATTTTAGTGGCATAGATTATTTCTGAAAATGCTACGGTAAAGGCTACTGTCGGATATTCTTTTCAAAACGCTAACGATAATCTCTAACGCTAATGCCAAACGGGACCTAAAACATCCTCCCTCTGTTTCTTAAAATATTTCCTCTTTCATTTTTTTGTTTTCCTCGAAGCACTTCCACTTTCTATTAAAAATGCTTTTATCCATACTTTTCTTACCCTACTTATAAATTCATATTTTTTCTGTAATAATCTATCTATCACATCGTATTTTTACCCATCACATCAAGAACATAGTTGGAAAGTCAACCACAAATATACATTTCTTATTTCTTCTAAAAGTCAAAATAGAAACCCTTGTTTGAAATGGAGGGAGTATGTCTTTTTCCAATGTACGGAGTATTCCGTAGTACTTAGAACTTTTTATTTCCAAAATAATATTTAAACAATGTCCAGTGATAAGAACAATGTCCAGTGGTGGTGGACATTTACTCGAACAATGTCCAGTAAACACTGAACAACGATACTATATTAACAAATTAAAACATATATATGATACTAGATTGCAAAGTTCACTATGTTTTAATACTCCCTTCGTCCCCGAAAGAAGTTCCCTTATTTTGGGAAATTAAGGGAGGGATATTTTGGTGTTGTCTTTCCAAAAATACTCTTGATGTGATGGATAGATTTTCAGTAAAAAGGTATGATGTGATAGGTAGGGTATGAAAAAGTAAGGGGTAAAAGTGATTTTTTAATACAAAAGAGAACATCTTTGTGGGACAAAGAAAAAACGAAAGGGAAACTTCTTTCGGGGACGAAAGGATTACTATATAGGTGAATCCCCCCAAATTAAATCTTATAAACCGTATTATTTAAAACAACAATTAATACTATAGTAATACATAAAAGAATTATAGTACTGCAATTAAATATTAAGTCATACTCCCTCCGGTTTTAAAAACATGAGAGTTATTGATTTTAAAGAAATTTAAGGGAAATGTATTTTGTTATTGAGTTTCCAAAGAAGTCCTTTGATGTGATAAGTAAAAGTAGGATTTGATGGGTTATTGTTAAAAAGTATGATGTGATAGGTAGGGTATGAAAAAATGAGTAAGAGTGACTATTTAATAGAAATAAGAAGTGTTTTTTAGGACGGATGAAGAAAGAAAAGAGAAAGGTTTTCAGGGATGGAGGGAGTACATAACATTTCTTTTAGCTGAAAAAGAAAATTAGAGCCAAAAAATCAGAGCTAAAAGAAATCACTTTTTTCAGTTTCATAACATTTCTTTTAGCTAAAAGAAATGTTAGCTTTTTTCAGCTAAGTTATTTAATAACATTTCTAAAACATTATTGCTAAAAGAAAATTATACACCCACAGTTCTTGAAAACACTTTCCATTTTGACCAAGTGCCAAAATAACGAAATGTAAATTTGTAGTTGACTTCCAATTTTGCCCTTAATGTGATGTGTAGAAGTAAGATATGATGAGTAGATTATTAGAGGAAAAATATGATGTGATAGATATGGTAAGAAAACGTAGGGGTAAAAATAGTTTTTTAATATAAAGTGAAATTGTTTTGGTAGAAAAGAAAAAAAATGAAAGAGAAAGTGTTTTGGTGAATAGAGAAAGTAGTTTTCATAACATTTCTTTTGGCTCTAATTCAGCTAAGTTATTTCTTTTTTGTATGAAAACTAAAAAAAAGTTATTTATTTATCAAGTCATCAGTTTAAAAGTTATTGTAGATATTACAAAATATGATTGAATTATACAAGTGAGGTGGTTGGTGGAGTGTTTTTTTTTGTAAAAATAGAGCAATTGTGGGAGTAATGATGTAATTAATCAATTTTCAGAGTATTCTTGTAAAATCGGAAATTTTTTGGAGTATTACTCTAACTTTTTCTTAAATTTAATGAAAAATAACTTTGGTCAAACATCGTAAATTGAGCTCATAAACTTAATTTTAAAATGTCTCTGCGTTATCTTTTTATGAGTACTATTGTTGTGGTTGTTATTACTCCGTATTATTATTATTATTATTATTATTATTATTATTATTATTATTATTATTATTATTATTATTATTATTATTATTATTATTATTATTATTATTATTATTATTATTATTATTATTATTATTATTATTATTATTATTATTATTATTCAAGTCTAAGGAGTCATGTGCTATAGCTAGTTATTTCAACCCAAGCAACAGAAAAAAACTTGGACTTTTTAAGGCCAGGACAACAGTGGATGGACTGGATATATTCAATGTTTAATTTACCTGCTTGAAATATTCGACTTAAAACTGTTATGAATTTTACTTTTTGTTCTTCCCTAGGTTGAATCTTGCACGTCTTTGTGCTTTGTCTCTACTGTGGTTTGATTTTATCAATTATCATCATCAACTAACAACAATCCTCACTGTCTCTTAACAAACAGAAACCCTAATTTTCCCCCTAATACTCCGGGGATATCATTTCCTATTTAATTCTCCATATAACTAATTACTTCCAGAAAACACTGCATGATTTTTGTTACCCGGAGTACAAGATTTTTGGTAGAATATACTAAGAAAGCTTTATTGCACGATGAAAATAAAGGCATCTTTGGGAATTGAATAGAGTTAGAAATTAGCGTTAGCGTTTTGAAAATACTATCTACGGATAGCATTATTTAACGTTAGCATTTTCAATGTAATCTTCATCGTTAACATTTTATCCAAAATGCTAATGCTAATCTCTAACGATATTCCCAAATAGGCTCTATCACAAACATTCAAAGAATTTCGCAATTGTGACTTCTCCAAGTAGAACACAAATGGAGATAAAAAATAATCGGAGCAAAATTGTTAGCGAATGTAATTAGATTTTGGTACTAATGAGTCTAGATTAGAGTTATATAAATAAGACGTTTGTAATTAATAAATAATTTTTTATCAATTTCTACAAAAATAGCAGCCAATTTTTTCATAACAATGACACTTTAAACTTATTTAAGAATCCATGCAAAATATTTAGTGAAAGTTGTCATTAATGTTTAGTTCTTGAATCATGGCATTTATCAGACACAAAGGGGCGTCGACGAAGAAGAAAGGTGGGAAAAGACAAAAACAACCCAGATTCTCCTTCTTGACGAAAAGCGAAATTGATAATCTTGAAGATGGATATAGGTGGAGAAAATATGGCCAAAAAGCTGTCAAGAACAGCCCTTTCCCCAGGTTATGATTTTTTTTATCTACACCCTCGCCTCAATTTTCAATTAGTGTTAGTGTTTTAGATATTTGTTTTATCGTACAAATTAGTTTTAAGAGTGCTAAAACCAAACGTTGTGATTAATTAGAAATATAAGATTCTGAAAATGCTAAAACAATTGCAAAACAATTATTTTCCTTTAGACTCTGTTTGATACACGGAATTCAAACTATGGAATTGGAATTGAGAATAACGATTTCGATTCAACTGTTTGGTAGCACAAAAATATGTGTATTTGAAATTGGTAGTGACAAACATGAATTGGAATTGGAGAATTCAATTTCATCCAAATCAATCCATAAAATTTTAACTTTCAATTAAATTCCAATCCTATCAATTCTGGATGCCAAACGGACCCGTAATTTTCGTTTCATTCTAAATTAAAGCTTCTGTTTTCTGGAATAGAAAGAACTCCATTTGTTTTAGGATGTGCTTTAATGTGTTTTCCTCATTTAAACAAATCTTACTGTAGCAGTAATTAGGGAGTATCATTTGACTAATGGTCCTCGTGGTTAGTCAAATTGGGTCAGAGGGACTAATACTCTTTATAATTTTATGTAGCAATGGCTGAAGGTTCCAATGAGGTCAAAATCGTCAAATGATACAATTTCATTTTTTGAATTTATACTGGTCACTTAGAATCTATTTACAAAGATGGAAAATCAAATTTGAAAAATGGTCTCATCAGAAGAATTAAAAAATTCACTTAAAAATAAACTTAAAAGAAAACGAACTCATTTTTTGTGATTACATGACAAAACGAAGAAAAATATAGCGAGTTTGGATATGAAAAGTAGCAGAATGATGAAAAATGTGTTCAGTCAACAAAAAAGGACAAAATCTTCTAAATAAAATTCATTTTCCGTTGGCCAAATACCGAAATATCGGAAATGATTCCCGGAAGTAATTTTTTCTTTCGCAAATGGGAAAATTGTGCCATAAGTGGAATTTTTTTGTTCTAACTTTTACACGGTATAAATGAATTGCTTGTGCTATTCAATTCACTCAAGATTGAGATTTCTAAGGCTACACTTGGTACACAGAATTCAAATCGTAGAATTGGAATTACGGATTTCAATTATAATTCTAGTGTTGGTTGCACTAAAATATGTGAATTTAGAATTGGTGTTTGGTTGCACCAAAATTCAATTCCATCAAATTCAATTTCATTGAATTTCAATTTCAATTTAATTCCAATTCTGTCAATTTTGTATACCAAACGGAACCTTAGAGTATATAAAAACCTTTCATGGGCAACAAGCATCAGCATGAGCACTTAGTTTTTTTATTCTTTTACATGGTAACAAAGCGTTATTGATCAAGATGTCACGTGTTTGAAACTCACTATCACCCAATTTTAAAAAAATAAGATTTTACGTGCAATGCTCAAAGAAGTCACACCTGCATCTGAAGGGCGTGCTAGAGTATATAAAAGTCTATTTGAATTAGTTCCTTATCATTCTATCAGAGCCAGTTTTAGCTCACCTTATTTGTTAAGGTGCCCGTCGTCTAGAAGTTCATTTCTAGCAGCCCATTAGTCTTTAGCCCAGTTGTTCGCGTCTAGAATGTATATCCAATGGTATGTGACCTGTTTAACCTGATTGCTCGTCTAGAAGTCCATACTCAACAACTCATAATCCTTTACGTGTTGGCGTTAAAAAAATAAATCAAGAGGATAAAAGTCTATATGCCGGTGGTCAATCAGTTAGATTCAAAATAGTTCGGTCATCCACTTAAGGAAGAGTGTTAAAGAGGATCCAAAATAAAAAGAAGTTAGAAGAAAATAGTTGGTATATAAACTCTTAGATTGAACTAAGTAATGGATTAAATTCAATATTTTAATGTGGTTTAAATTAAAGGTTGTTTGACAAATTTGTAAAATCTGTGTACATTATATGAATGCAGGAGTTATTACAGGTGCACTAGCCAAAAGTGCACGGTGAAGAAGCGGGTGGAGAGGTCGTACGAAGATCCGACGGTGGTGGTGACCACCTACGAGGGGCAGCACAACCACCACTGCCCGGCGACCCTGCGGGGCAACGCGGTGGCCCTCTTATCTCCCGCCTCATTCTTGGCGTCATCGTCTCCCGCTGCTGCAGCGCTGATGCCTCACTTTCCTCACGAACTTCTGATGAATCCAATGATGGCGGGCCCCAATTTCGGGAACCACCCTAACTATTCAATTTATGGTAATAATAATAATAATAATAATAATAATTACCAGCAGCAGCAGCAAGGCCTCAATCCTCATGATCATCATCAGCAGCAGCATTTTTATGAGCAGATGATGATGGCCCAGCAGCCCTCTATGGATCACTACACTTTGTTCCAGGACGTGGGGGTCCTTAAAAATGAGCACCAATGATCGATGCATGGATCTAGTAAGTTGTTGTTAATCCTGTTCTTTTCATGCATTTATCATTCTACATTACCTTCCTCCTCCCTGTTTGATGATTAGAATTTGTCTAATTTGACTTGAAAAAATTATCCGGAATACATACCAACTCAGTAAGGTATTACCTCTAGACATTTTTTCAAATATTTAGCGGACATAAAAATGTTAAAGTAGTAAGAATATGCTCTCTCCGTCCCTAAAAACATTTATGGGGTTTTGTTTTTAAGTGATTTAAGAAAAATATATTTTGGTATTGAGTTTTCAAAAATGTCTTTTGATGTGATGAGTAAAAGAGAATTTTATAGATAGATTAATAGTGAATAAATGTGATATGATAGATAGGCCGGTTAAAAATCAGTAGGGGTAAAAGTGACTTTTTAATAGAAATGAGAGGAGTGTTTTTTGGGACGGATGAAAAAGAAAAAGAGAAATATTTTCAGGGACAGAGAGAGTATGTTAAAATAATAATGAGAAAAAATATAATGTATATTCCAAAGGTTCTCTTTGATACGAAAAGTCTCTCCTCTATTCATAGGCAAAGAAGAAGATAAGAGTCTAAAACCAACTAGGAAACAAATTACCATAAACAAACTAGAAAAAAAAATCACTCAAACAGAGTTCTTCATGGATTCAGCATCTCCCTTTCGTGTAGTGCACGCCCCCCGTGACACCCACCTCAAGCGGGTATGTGTGGATCACGAGTGCCTAGCTTGGTCAACAAATGATGAAATAGTGTGGAAGGGAGTGTCTTAGTCACACGGTCAGGCTGATAATCAGAAGCAATATGTGTCATTTGGAGAATGCCACTTTGAACTTCATCACATACAAAGTGGCAATCACTCTCAATACCGGATTGACATATATGCAGCAATGGGAGAGCAGCTTGACTCTCACAAAATAGTATCATAGGAATGCGTACCTTGATGCCGAACAAAAGAAGAAGAGATCCCAACCATTTTAGTTCACAAACAGTAGTAGCCATTTCCCGATATTTAGCTTAGGCGGACGAGCAGGAAACCATATGTTGTTTCTTCGTATGCCATGAGATGGAGGAGTTTCCAAGCTTTATCAAATATCGACTTACTAAGGGGCATATAAAGGGACAACTAGCCTAATTGGAGTCGTAGAAAGGGGTGAGGGATAAATCACAATCGGTCGGGAGAAAAAGTTCATGTCTAGGACGAGATTTCAAATAACAGAGGACATGTTGTGGCCTCCGAATGTTCTTGGCGTGGTGTACTCATAAATTGTGGGAGAGTATGAATTGCATAAGAGAGCTCTGGGAGAGAGATCGTCAAAAAAATAAGGTGATTGACGAGGCGACGGTACTGGCTTGATTGGGGTAGTTCGGCTTTTGTGGCGAGAGCAAAATGATGGTTTGCTGGCAGAGGCGTGCTAGCTGGACGAGCTACAAGCATTCCAGACTCAGTTAAGATATCCAAAGCATATTTTTGTTGACACAAGAAAATGCCTTGGGAATTACGCACGACCTTTATCCCCAAAACATACTTCAATTGCCCCAAATCTTTCATATGGAAACACTGAGCCATGTAGTGTATGAATTTTGCAGTAAACACATCATCTGTTACATTGCGACAATGACAAGATCATCCACATAAACCAAAACATACACTTTAATATCCCTTGGCGTAAGTAACAAGCTATAGTCAGCTTTAGACTGAAGGAAACCAAACTTGCGTAAGGAATAAGAACACTTCGCAAGTCAACAACATGGTGCCTGACGCAACCCATATAAAGACTTTTATAGATGACACACTAATCCATGGTAGCGTGAGGCGGAGCCAGAGGTGACTTCATATATACTTCTTCCTTGAGATCCCCGTGAAAAAGGCATTTTTACACATCCATCTGATACAAATGCCATCGGCGTGAAGCAGCGATAGCTAGCAAAGTACAAAGAGTGACTAGCTTGGTCATGGGAGCAAAAGTTTCCTTAAGGTCAATTCCTTTCATCTGTCAACTTCCAAGCACAACTAGACATACTTTGTACCGTTCAATGGAGTCATCAAATTTGTGTTTAATTTTAAACATCCCCTTTGAGCCAATTTCTTTTCGTCTTGGAGGAAGTGGAACAAGAGACCAAGGTTTGTTGTTCTCCAGAGCTTTTATCTCGTCCCGCATTGCCTCTCACTAGTGCGGATGCTTTGCTACCTTAGAAAAATGTGTGCGCTCAATCTATGCACTTATAGATACCAAGAAACATCTATAGGGTAAAGAAAAATGGTCATAATTAATAAAATTTGTAATTCAATGAGGAGTACCTGAAGGCCGATGCGGGGATGTAGACGCAACTTGAGGGTGCTGAATTGTATGAACAACAAAGTCCTGTAACTGTGTAGAGGGTTGTCGTTTGTGGGTTCCCCAAGGTAAGAGATTGGGAGGGGATTCATTGCGAGTGGGGCTACCGGAAGAGGCAACTTCGGTGCTGACATCGGCACCAGTGGGGTTGATGGTCAGAATTGTGTCGTCGTTGTCCGAGGGTGAATTATCGATGTAACTGGTGCCAATTGGGCTGCCGGTAAGATTTCAGCTTTTGGATGGAGGTTCTGACGGTGTATGCAGATTGGTGGATGACGATGGCTGGATGTTGGGAAACGATGAAGGCTCGTCGTCATCAGTCGACTCGATAGTTTGTTTGGAGGGGGTATCGGTGTGGTGTGGCAACGGTTCAGAGGTAGAGTACGGAAAATATTGCTCAATAACTTTGACATCCCAACTTTTTAGAATTTTATTTATTTCTAGTTTGAGTTGAAGCCAACCCTTTTAACTAAAGGGATATCCAAGGATGATACATTTTCGTGAGCGACTTGCAAATTTGTCACCATGATGGTTTTGGTTTTAGGCATAGGCTAGGCACCAAAAAGTGTGAAGATGAGAGTAGAAAGGTGGCTGTCGAAACAACACTTCAAAAGGTGTCTTATTGTAAAGCAAGGAAGAGGGAGTATGGTGATCAAGTAGCCAGCAGTCACAATACAGTCTCCCCAAAACTTAATAGGTACATTTGCTTGGAATCGCAAGGCATGCATGACGCTAAAGAAGTTAATTTACTTCCATTATCACTTCGAACAATTTTGAATTTCTTATCAAATTGTTGTTCCACCATGATGAAAACATTATGGAGAACGAAGGGGGTCTCAACTTTGTTGTTAAGTAAATAGACCCAAATAGCTTGAGAGAAATCATCCACAATGATGAGAAAATATTTTGCCTCAGTCTGAGCTCTGAGCTGGAGATCTATATGCACCCCCATATCACAATGAATCAAGGAAAAATGAATATGAGATTTATTTAAACTTTCAGGAAAAGAGTCATGACATTGTTTTGAACGGAGACTAACATCATAAGGAATATTAAAATCATGCTTTTTTGTAGAGAGTTCTTGAGATAAAACTTGAACAACAGAATGGGAAGAGTGTCTTAATCTCTTATGATAGATCTCCACATCTCATCAGCATTCATAGTATTGGCTCTATCGGTCACACCCTTTAGGGAATAATATATGCCCCCAAGCTGCTTACCCATTCCAATCACAATCTTCAAGGCACAGTCCTGTATAAGAAAAATTTTATTAGTAAACTAAACAATTAATATTTTTTCATCTAAAAGTTGCGAAACAGATATAAGGCTGCAGGTAAGCTTAGGAAGAAACAACACATTGTTCAAAACAAGTGTTTCAATTAAATAAACACTCCCTTTTTGTTCCGCCATGTCTTGTTCTCCATTGGGCAAGACAACTGTATAGGGCGTTATCTTTCCTACGTCTATGAACCCTCTTTTATCTCCCGTCATGTGCTAACTGGCTTTGCTATCTATTATCCAACAGGTTAAAGAAATACCTAAACATCTATTGTCAAGAGGCACTTCTTTCTCTTTCAACATTCCCATCAAAGTGTTCCATTATTCTTTGGAAAAGGGCTCTCACTCTCCATTTAGACATCTTGTCCGTGGCATGTGCGCTGCCTAGCCACCCCCGCCACTTCCTCCATACCCACTACCTCGGACGGCAGCTCTTCCTCCATGCATCTGTCGCCCGCGACTACGACAAGCACCACCGCATCCTCCTCTCCGATTTGGTGTTTGGGTGCACGGTCTGACTCCCCACCATCCTGGGTACCCTATTACTTGAAAGCACTCACTGATTTCATGGCTTGTCTATCCACAATGCTTTCATTTGAGTTTCTTATTTATCTCACGATTATATGTCACTACAAAACTAACAGGATTATTTTCTTCTTCTTGAGTGATCTTCAACACTCCTTGTTGAACGATCGTCAAATAAACATGATTTAATGGAGCCAAGGGAACAATAGTAAGAGTATTATTAGACCGCATGCAACCATATCCTTTGTTGCCATGTCCCATCATGAACTGATAAACCTTTTCATTCTCTTTTTGAGTCTCGATAAGTTTGGATGTGCCACACTTACACGTACGACATCTAGAGCATGAAGGGATCTTTTCGAGTGTAGCTAGGTCGTCCCATATTCCCTCCAACTTTCCAAAGTACATGGTGATTATTTGTCCATTTTACTAATAGTTCGCCAATTCCTTCTTGAGCTGATTTACTCTTGGTCCATTCGCCCTAGAAAATTGTTTTATAATATCATTCCACAGCTCTAGTGCTTCCTCAACTTGTGTGATAGAGGTGACCCATCTATGGTGTTAAACATGGTGTTCACTATCCACCATTCTACTGCTCGTGCACATTCTTCATAATTATATGGGAAGAGTATGTATAAAGTGTTTTATGGGAAGAGTAAAAAGTAAAAAGGAATTGTTTTGTAAAAGAGATAGAATATGAAAATAGGATCTTGAATATTACTACGTACTCTTTGTTGTACAAAAAATAGAATTATCAATGTTTTGCTAATTAAACTTCACGTTTCTCATATATAGGGTTGATGGAACCATTTTTTATATTGCTTTATATTTTAGGGAGTGTTTATATTTTGAGTAGAGTTTGTACACTTATACCCGAGAGTTGTTTATATTTGATAATAATATGAGATGAGATGATTTAACAATTGGATGGATAAGTCAAGCTCTATTTAATGTATTGATTGGCCTGGGGTTTATTTATTAATGAGTTATTAGACCCGATCCTTTTCACTATTTTTACTCAGATAATGCTTGAGGAATTTGATCCTCTCTACTAGCTTGGAGGATGGGATCGGAGCTGGACTATGACCATACTACTATACATACAATGGGGATATTGAAATTCTAGTCGAGCATGTGATCCATAGCGTGGAACGAAGATATTTTGTGACGTTTGTGGCACTTGCATAATGTATCTCATCATGGTTCTAATTATTAAATTTAGATTATTGGAATAGAATTGAAACTTACTCGCGCCATCTATTTATTTTTTCTTCTTTCTTTCTTGAAACTTTTATAGTTTTACATTTCATATATAAAAGCTAAAAGTACCTCAATTTTGAATCCGTTTTTACCTCCACCTTCTTATGGATATTCAAAGATATCCAACACTATTCCATGGCAGTGAATTTTTCTAAGAAGAGTGGTGTGAAAAATGAGATCAAATTTGGGGCCTCCCAAGCATAACTCATATAAATATGGGTTATGCTTTAAAAAAATCCCAATTTTCACATCCTAATTAGTAATATACGGCTGATGAATAATACAATAATACGTACGTATGTATATAATACATTAAAAATTCTAAAAAATACAATTTACTATATGATTTAAATGCTCGGCATATGCACACATATATATATATATGATGTTTTTAGAAAAGTATATAAAATGGGACAAACGGGATGGAACGGTACACTTGTATAATCTCCCAGTAATGTCCCACTTAAAATCGGGACAGAACAGGTTCGGGACAAAAAAATTGAATAAAAAAAGGTACAATTTCAAAACGGTTCTGGCATGTTTCGGAATGGGTCAATGGGAACGGTTTTCATGCCCACCCCTATTGTTATCTGTTAATCATTAGTGTGAAAATTGCAATTACTAGAGTGTTGGACTCCTGGCTAAATGAGGTTGGAGACTCTGGTGGACCATGTAGGACAAGACGCGATAAGGCCAGATTTGCTAACAAATGAGTGAAATGATACCTTGAGTCTACTTTTTTAAAGATTGCTAAGGCATCGATCGTTCCAATTTTGTATTTTTATAGAAAAATTATCAAGAAATTCATAAATATGCTTGAAGTAAAATTATATGTATTATACATTCATACAATATACATATTATACATGACAATTTATAATAAGCGTAGAATATGCAAATAAACTAACATAATTGCAAACCACGCACATTCCAGACCAAAAGTTAATACAAACACATACTACCCCATTCGAGTGTATCCATTGAGTTTGAGTTTTTGAAAAGGCTAGCTAACGAATGAGATTGAGAATAGATGAAGAGAACTTTATATATTATTTTTTCTTGTTCTCTTTTACAATGAGAATTGAAAACAAAGTATATATAATTACAGAAAGTAACTCATGAGCCTCCAATGTAGAGCAAGAGTCGTAAACATAAATATTGAATCTCTTCCCTTTTGTTTCTCTATGAAAAATTAGCAAAAGTAAATACAGAGATATACTACCTCTTTCCCAGTGTATTATTCATTCAGTTTGGGTTCTTAAAAAGACTATATAATGAATGAGAATGGATAAAGAGAACTTGGTTTATTCTATATTCTTGTTCTTTATTATACATTCTCATTAGCATTTTTTTGTTGAGCAGATTGGATTGTTCCAAATGAGTATATATAATGCATCACAGTTTGACATTAAAATGCATTTAAAATATATTTTTTATGCTGAAAATACGTGTGATTGTTGTGTTTCTGTAACATGGAATTTTTGAGTGTTGGGATGATGCATTGAGACTTAAAAATATTATAATTATTTCTTACTTTTGTGCATAAAATTTCACTCTTCATTGACAAAAGATTGTTCCTAGTCCTTTTAGGGGAAGTGATTTTGTATATGGTTACTATGTGCACCATATATTGGTAATTATATTCATGTGTTCTAATGCACTAAAATGATGTGGATAAACAACTTTTGTATTCTGATCATTTATAAAACAATATAATACATTTACAAATTTGATAAAATGTGTGTAGTCTATGATGTTGTTATATATATATATATATATATATATATATATATATATATATAAAACAACATTATGAATTACTATGCATTGGAAACATGATATAATGCATATAGTATATTTAAGTATTCTTAGTAAGACTGTTAAATCCATTTCATGCACTTAATTCATGTGGTTATCACATTTGTACTCTGTGCATTTATAAATCAATTTAATGCATTTAGTTCATCTTGATATAATGTGTACTCTGTATGATGTTCTTTATGTCTATATAGAGAATTATTCTTTATTGTGCATCTGGATATGACATAGTGCATACAGTATGTTAATATATTCTGAATAAGATTGGTCATGCCATGTGGTGCACTAAATTCTTGTGGATAATAAACATTTGTATTTTGTGCATTTATAAAACATTTTAATGCATTTTCCTTTTTGATATAATGTGTATTCTCTATGATGGTTTTATGTGTCTATATCAAAGGAGTATAGATTGTTGTGCATTGGAAAAAATATAGTGCATATAGTGTGTGTATACTAAATAAGTATACACAGTTTCTGATCATTCTCCTATGACCATCAAGAAATGTATTCAGAAAGATAGGAACAAGAGCTTTAAGTTCTGCGAAATGTGGACTCTGGATCCACAGTTTCCTAAAATTGTTGAGGAAATATGGAGGAAGGATCAGCATGGTATACCCATGTATCAGGTTGTTCAAAAACTAAAACAACTTAAAGAGCCACTGAAGAAGCTGAATAGAATGAGGTACAAATCTTTGGATTCACAAATTGATCAAATCAGAACTAAATTGTATGGTGTCAAAGGGAACTAAGGGAGGATGGAAATAACATAAAGAAGCTGGAAGAGGAAAAATTCCTTTAGACTGAATTGCATTTGAAACTTAAGGCAAATATGATGATGAAAATCCAGCAAGCCAAAGCGGAATGGATTACACTAGGAGATCAAAATACAAAACTCTTCCATGCATGGCTCAAAAAGAGGAAATTGCAAAGCCACATCATAGTTATGACCAATGTAGAAGGGGAAGTTAAGGAAGGAAAGTAAGAAAATGCTAAGGTATTGGTTGCTTATTTCCAAAAACAGTTGGGTGGGAAGGGAGACACAGTTGATATCAAGTTGGATGTTGTAAAGATGGGAAATAACCTATCCATTGAACAACAAATGATGTTAATTAGGCCAGTATCTACTGAGGAAGTAAAAGAGAGCTTATACAGCATCCCAGTTCACAAAAGCCCAGGTCCAGATGGATATGGAATTGGAATCTTCAGGAGTCAATGGCATAAAATGGGGGATTTGGTAACTAAAGCTACAATAGAGTTCTTTGAGAAAGATGAAACTCTAAAAAAAATCGATGCCACTAACATCACAGTCATCCCCAGAAAAGAGAATCCAAATAGCCCTTCTAATTTAAGACCAATAGCATGCTACAATTTACTATATAAAACTATAGCCAAAATTATATGTGGGAGACCAAAGAAAGTGTTGCCAAGTCTGGTCAACTTAAATCAAGGTGCTTTTGTTGAAGGAAGGGAACTGGTCCACAATGTTCTTTTGTGACAAGAATTGACTAGGGGATATAAAAGGAAAGGTGTATCCCCAAGATGCTTGATGAAGCTTGATATCCAAAAGGCATATGATAATGTGAGCTAGAAAGCCATTGAACAAATTCTACAACAATTCAAATTTCCATCCAAATTCTCTAAATGGATAAAGTACTGCATATCTACTACTACTTATTCCATCCATTTGGAAGGAGAAAGTTTTGGATTTTTTAAAGGTGAAAAGGGGCTGAGACAAGGTGATCCTGTATCACCCCTTCTATTTGTCCTCATAATGGAATATCTTACAAGAACATTCCATTATTATGCAAGCAAAGAGGGGTTCCATTATCATCCAATGTGCATCTCTCTGAAAATCATCAACTTAGTGTTTCCTGACGATCTTATTGTTGCCTGCAAAACTGAGGAAGAATCTATAAGGGTAATCATGAAAGCGTTAGAGCACTTTAAGAGCACAACTGGGCTCTAGATGAATCCTTTAAAATCTGAAATTGTGTTTGGAGGGGTTAACCAGTCATTGGAGGAGAAGCTACTGCAGATTACCAACATGAGAAAGGGCTCTCTACCCTTCAGATACCTAGGGAGCCCTATTACTTCAGCAAGAATCAGTGACAAAGAATGTGACAGGCTCATTGAGAAAATGACAGCAAATATAACAACATGGGCAACCAGACACCTATCATATGCTGGGAAAATAAACCTAATCAACACAGTTTTGTTTGGGATTGTAAATTTCTGGAGCAGAATTTTTCTAATTCCCACAAAAGTGATGAAGAAGATTCAAGCACTATGCAGGAATTTTCTATGGAGCTCATCTGTGGAACACAAAAGACATCCTCTGGTGGCTTGGGAAGAGGTCCGTTTACCCAAAAAATTTGGTGGATTGGGGATTAAGAATTTAGCCCAGTGGAACAAAGCTAGCATCATGAGGTTGATATATGACATTGAACAACAGAAGGAAAGTTTGTGGATCAAATGGATACATGGCAGATATCTGAAGGAGAACACAATCTGGGAGTGTGTAGCCAAGAATGACTCCTATTTTTACTGGAAAAAACTACTTAAGATGAGGAGCATCTTTGCAGGGATGACAAGGGTTGGACAATATTCCACAAATCAGGGCTACACATGGATCCAGGGGCAACAAAGGGAACCGTACTGGACTGCTGATGTATGGAATAAATATTCCATACCAAAACATAAGAGCATTATGTGGCTCATATGCAAGGATAGAATACAGACAAAGGTGAGACTGAGCAAGTTCTTTCCCATAGATACCACTTATACATTTTGTGATGAAGGGGAGGACTGTCAACACCTCTTTTGTCAATGCATATATGCACGAGGGGTTTATCAACATGTTTCAGCTAGATGTGGTTATACAATACAAGGGGGGACTTGGAAAGAGATGCTGGATAACCTTAGTAAGATCAAACCCAACAAAAGCAGGTGGAAGATGATGGCTTATTTTGCAGCAAGTGTGTATGCAATATGGAGGGCCAGGAATTGGAGAATACACAAGAATACTAATATATCAGTTGAAGAAATGACACAAAGGATTTTTTACCATATTCACACCTTCATGCAAGCTAAAGGAGTTCTATAGAGATTAATATTGATTGTTTTAGTTCCAATCTGATGTTAGTTTTATAC